TAAACAATTTTCCACTTCTAGAGCCAATTTCAACTTCACAGCGAAGGATAGTGGACTCTAGACAACGCATGTTCAACTTCACGACGAAGGGACCGCTGGTTGTCAACAAACAACTTCTCAATTTCAGAGCCAATTTCAACTTCACAACGAATGATATTGGACTCCAGACAACGCATGTTCAACTTCACGACGAAGGGACCGCTGGTTGTCAACAAACAACTTCTCAATTTCAGAGCCAATTTCAACTTCACAACGAAGGGTATTGGACTCCAGACAACGCAAGTTCAACTTCACGACGAAGGGACCGCTGGTTGTCAATAAACAACTTCCCAATTTCAGAGCCAATTTCAACTTCACAGCGAAGGATATTGGACTCATGACAACGCATGTTCAACTTCACGACGAAGGGACCGCTGGTTGTCAACAAACAACTTCTCAATTTCAGAGCCAATTTCAACTTCACAGCGAAGGATATTGGACTCCAGACAACGCATGTTCAACTTCACGACGAAGGGACCGCTGGTTGTCAACAAACAACTTCTCAATTTCAGAGCCAATTTAAAACTTCATAACGAAGGATATCGGACTCCAGACAACGCATGTTCAACTTCACGACGAAGGGACCGCTGGTTGTCAACAAATAACTTCCCAATTTCAGAGCCAATTTCAACTTCACAACGAAGGATATTGGACTCCAGACAACGCATGTTCAACTTCACGACGAAGGGACCGCTGGTTGTCAACAAACAACTTCTCAATTTCATAGCCAATTTCAACTTCACAACGAAGGATATTGGACTCCAGATAACACAAGTTCAACTTCACGACGAAGGGACCGCTGGTTGTCAACAAACAATTTCCCAATTTCAGATCCAATTTCAACTTCACAGCGAAGGATATTGGACACCAGACAACGCAAGTTCAACTTCACGACGAAGGGACCACTGGTTGTCAACAAACAATTTCCCAATTTCAGATCCAATTTCAACTTCACAGCGAAGGATATTGGACTCCAGACAACGCAAGTTCAACTTCACGACGAAGGGACCGCTGGTTGTCAACAAACAATTTCCCAATTTCAGATCTAATTTTAACTTCACAGCGAAGGATATTGGACTCCAGACAACACAAGTTCAACTTCACGACGAAGGGACCGCTGGTTGTCAATAAACAATTTCCCAGTTCCAGAACCAATTTCAACTTCACGGCGAAGGATATTGGACTCGGAGCAATACAACTTACTTGGATTTCAACTTCATGACGAAGGATATCCAATTCCAAGGCTCAACTTCACAACGAAGGGGCCATCTACGGTTTCAACTTCACGACGAAGGGAATCGTGCTCACCATTGTCTCTCTTGAGACAGTTTCCCTTGAAATAAATTTTGTCTCCCTTGAGACAGTTTTTCTTGAAACATAAGCATTGAAAACATTTCCCTTGAAATGAATTTTGTCTCTCTTGAGATAGTTTCCCTTGAAATAAATTTTGTCTCCCTTGAGACGATTTCTCTTGAAACATAAAACTTTGAAAACGTTTCCCTTGAAACACAAGATGTTTGAAGCAGTTTTTCTTGAAACAAATTTAGTCTCTCTTGAGACAGTTTCCCTTGAAACAAAATCTTTGAATCTGTTTCTTTGAAACTAATTTCGTCTCCCTTGAGACAGTTTCTCTTGAAACAAAATCTTGTCTCCCTTGAGATCGTTTCTCATGAAACAACAGATATCTTTGAGATCGTTTTCCTTGAAACGAATTCTGTCTCTTTCGAGACAATTTCTCTTGAAGCATCATCTGAACTGTGTCATTCAGATCGAGGGCCTTTCAATCACATGTTGGAGTCAAAGAACTACTTTCCAGTCAAATCTTTAAACCAATGTCTTTCAATCAAGAAAAAGACCAAAGTGGATTACAGTTTGGCAATAAGAAGTCACATTCTGATTCAAATTCTGAACTGCGGCTTCAATTCCGTTTCAATATGGACTCAACTTCGCAACGAAGGAGTCATTCACAACTCAATTCGACAGAGAGTTATTGAAACATCAGAGTCAACTCCACCGAGCGAAAAGTGTGTCTTTTAATCTTTGCCCTATCCCCGTTACACGACTATGGGCAAAGAGGGGCAGCTGTAGACCCACTTTTTAGTCCACCCGAATATATGTTTCAAATAAGGCCCAGCAGAGCAGCCTAGTGGCCCACAGTGAACCCAAACTGCCCCAGTAACCCGCACTACTGAAGCACTTGACAGATTCAACCCCGCATGACTCTTAGAGAGTCCCGATTCCGGTGGCAACGTCCTCCGTTTTGTTCGGCATTTGAAGACTATGTGAAAACTGAAAAGAAAGCAAAGAATTTTAGTCTCATTAGAACTTTAAAACCACACGTAATAGGCTTTTGTTTTTGCTATAAATTAATGTAAACATACATTCGAAAAGGGGGATTTTTGGATCAGCAATAAAAAAGACAAAGTTTACATCAACAATTGAATTTTACGAGCAATCCAGGAAACAAAGAACCAGTTTTCAAAGGTATTCGACCTTTGTATTTTTTCTTTATCGTTCTTGGCATGCCTATTTTCATTCGAATATAAGAAGAAAAAAGAGGAGAGAGACTCCTTTACCTTAGTTGCCAGCCCTTATCGTCGAGTTAAAGAAGTCGCCGGAGTCTCAGGGAGCGTGACGTAGTAAACGACCACCAATATGTGGTGGCCGGCATTGTCTGTGAGAGTTCCATTCACTCGGCCTCTAAGAGAAAGCAAGGAGAGAGAGAGATCTGGGGGGTTAGTTTAAGCTTTAGGTTATATATTAGGTTTAGGGTTAATTACTTATTAAACCCCTCTAATTTAGCCGCACATTTATATTCTAGTCACCAATCTACTTGTTATACCATTTTTTTAATGTTTGAATTTGGTCACGATATATATATAATTATTTTATTTTAGTCACTGCCTTGTGTTGAGTTTAATTAGTATTTACTCCTTCATGTTTCTGTTTATTTTATTTTAGTCCTCTATATTAGTTTTGGGTTATTCGCATTTCTAGTGCCTACAATGTTTAATATTTTGATGTTAGCCTTTTTTATGTTTGTGGTTCAACCCTTTGAATTTCTATTTTGTTATTTTAGTCCTTTAAAATTCTGTTTTAGCCTTTTAAGTTCTTGTTTTGTTATTTTAGTCCTTCTAATCTTTTGTTCTTTGTTTTGGCAGCTCAGTTTTAGTTCAGATTTAATCCCTTAATTTTGATTCGTTTCAATTTGATCCGTTAAGCTTTTTATTTTTAATTTTTTTTCTTCATATTGTTTTTATTTTTAACATTTTTTTCATCGTCATTATTATTATTTATTTATTTTTTATATCTTATTTCCCTTTATTATTATTTTATTATTTTCACTTTTGTTTTCGTTTTTATTTAATATTTTTTTATTTATTCATTTTTTTACTTTCCTATCTTTTTATTTATTATTTCAGTTAATTTTATTATTATTATTATTATTACTATTTATTTATTATTTTTTTTATCTAATGTTTTTAACCTTTTTTAGAAGAACTTCAACTAATCAAAGGTAAGTAATTCGAATCGGGTTTCTAAATTTAATTTTAATTTTAAATTTTCACAATTAAAGACAACCGATAAATTAGTTGGTACCGAAAGGGTGGTTCAAGGGTGCTAATCCTTACTTGATCGTAACCGACTCCCGAACCCGACACATTTCTGGTACAACGCAGATCAGGTAAGATGGTGTCCGACCCACCTAAATTTGTTTTAAAATGGTCGGTGGCGACTCCCCAGCCCAATAATTCAAGTCGAAGCTCAATTCCGGGGCTCAACCCGAAAGACGGTTACGACAATACCAGTACCGTAGACCCAGGTTTTTGGTTGCATTAGAAACGCATAGACAAGGAACTTTGCTTTCCCCCCTAAGAAGGCAAGATGCCATATGTGTCCATGTAAAAACTCCCTTGTTGAGGAACTTTTGTGGTGGTGGTTTAGATTGTCTTAATGATTCATTCCTTTTGTCTTGGACACACAATTATTGGTTTGGCTAAATTTATCTCAATATTTTTTTTTCTCTTTGATTGCAGTGAGAGAGAGAGAGAGTTAAGAGAGCGTCCTTATCCCCTTTTGTCCTATAAAAGTCATTTTAAATATCTAAGAATCACAGTCATTCACATACGAGAGAGGATATAATTTTAAGACTGAATCCAAATTATCAAAGCTCTATTGTATTAACCTATCAAGCTTTTGAGTTAGGTTATCCGACTATTTAAATAGTTAGTTATGGAGTCATGAAAGAGAAGTTTAGTATGTACTATAGAATGTAACACCAAGACTGCAACTCCTTTAGATTGAGGAAGGATATAATATAATTTTAAGAGGTTCCATGGCGAACACAAGGGGAGAGATTAAACAAAAATTACTATAAAGTTGGTCCATAAAAATAAAGTTAAAAGGTCCCAAGTCCATAACCCTCCAACTACATCTCTATCCATAAGATTGGCTTTCCACGTCGAAGCTTACACACACACATATATATATATATATATAATGTAGGTTGGGTGCTTGCCCACGGCCATGCCAAGTAACTTTTGTTTCCTTTTCCATTGGTTACCTGTTATTCGAAATAAAACCCCTAATCCCAAACAGTTATCGTTTTTATCTCTCTCTCGCAGACAATGCTCGGTGCTGAGCTTTGCTCCCGTGCATTCTCCACACACCGACTTTTCTTAGATTCATCAAATGCTTATCACCCAACACCCTCCTTTTCTTTTCATTCGCTTCGCTTTTCTTCAATCCCTTTACATTTATCGGCGTATCGCCGTCCTTCGCCGAAACGGGTCGTCATTTCTTGTCACTCGATCAATGGTAGATTCGGTCCCCAATTTAGCAACGAGGATGACCCAGATCATCAATTTCTAGAAGCTTCTCTTCTCGTTTCAGGTTTGACTTTTTCCCCCTTGAATTTGGGTAAAGGAATTTTGGGAATCTGTTAACTTTGGAGTTACGTTATGGAACAGAAACTGTATTGCACTACCGGATGTTAAGGCAAGGATCAAAAGAAGAAATAAAATGAAAGTCATCTAGGAAGCAGCATCCCATGTCAAGGCCTAAAATTACTTCAATTGGACAATCCTTTTCTTAGCCGATTTGCCAGTCCGACTATTTTTCTTAAGTTTTCTTGTGATGAAGATTTCTTGCTACCCATTATTGTAGGTATACATGATAATCAACAATTCCGCCCTGTTATTCCATTGTTTCTCTTAATTGTTATCGATCATTGTGTCTGTTGTTTTTTTAATAGCTCTAATTAATATGCTCTTGTAGGGGGAATTTGCCGTTGAAAAACTAATAGCTTCCTTTCGGGGAGATGAGAATGGAGTAATTTCTTAATCTGTTATTGTTTTGAACATTTTACTTTCCTTATAGTTAAACTTATTTCTTCTGTATTTGACATAATTTATCTTTTGCAGGCCCGTCCAGACCAGTTTCATATTTTTAAACATGTTGCGGAGAGGCTTGGATATGAAGTATGTAGTTGTTTTTTCTCATGTATTTAAGACATTATGAAATTATCTAGATTTTTATCAGTTACTTGGTTTAGTTTTTTCTTTACATTTAATATCTATTAAAAACTAATTTTGAATGGTTTAAGTTGGTGTAAATAAGCACAAGAAATTTGTAAGATATGAAAGGAGATAATCAATTCTAACAGATTCAAGGCACCTCCCTAACTTTGTGACCCATGCTTTCAATTGTACTGACTTTACCCCTAGGACAAGTATGCAGGATACTGTGTAATATCTCTTTCCATTGATTTATGCATGTATTCATTTCAGGTTAAAATGGTGAGAATTACAGAGAGTTGTCAATACTTTGCAAAGTTATATTTTACCAAGGTGATTAAAGTTGGTTGTATTTCTTTTATTTCCTTGGGTGATAAAGGAACCTGTTTCAATTGTCGGGTTGTTTTTTTTCTTTTCTTTTTGTTTACAGCCAGGGGAAAATGATGTGACAAGTGTGGATGCACGGCCCTCGGATGCTATCAATGTGGCTAAGAGATTCAAGGTATGTAGTGGGAAATTATTATAAATCAATCTTTTTCTGTATGAAAGGGGAATTGCTTGCTTTCTAGTCTTCCTCTGTTGTGTGATTACAACTCAAACTTGTTTTTCTCTTGCTGTCTTTGAGCCTTTACCAGTGTCAAATTTCAATAGAAACTAGTAAGAGGTTCGAGTTGAGTCGGTTGGTGTAGTGTTTCCAATTTTGAATCTCTCTCTTGTTTCAACATCAAAATGGCTCATTTTTTCAAGGTTCAGCGGTGCATTCACTTCTACCGATTGCATCTCTGAAGCTTCTAATTGGTATTTTCTGTATGCAGGCTCCGATCTATGTAAGTAAACAAATCGTCCTGGAAGATGCTATTAGAATTGGCTATGGGATTGGCAGAGTGCGTGATAAAAAATCTACTTGTGATGTATTGCTTGACTGTTATGTTGTATATGGTGCCTTTGGTGTTTTCTCAAAAAATTGGTTGCCTTATTTTAACTCTATGAACGGTTGTATACTTTCAGTGCTGCAGATGGCCCGGATTTGCTAATAGAGGAGCTGAATCTGGTGAGGAATATAAATTTAGCTGTCAAAGAAGAAAGGTACGATGATGCAGGTAATAAAGATTTCAGCGTCTGCCTTCTCCGTTAATTCTAAATCTACGAAAAGAACTACCATTCTTGATACTATTTCTTTCATTCTTTTGTTATCAAACATTGAAACAGTTGATGCTTTACACTATAAAATGAACTTCTTGCAGCAATGTTAAGAGACAAACTAACGAAGCTACTCCACTCAAGTGATGATCATTAATGTTTTTTTGTGAGCAATAATTCGCTTTGGATTTTACTATTCAAAGTTGGAGAGTATATCATCAGGTTTCGGAGTTTCACCAGCTGCTCAGTACTTGGCTAATTGTTGTTTATAGAGCTCAGGAAGTTTTTATGCTAAAGTACTCAGCAGGGAGAACCAATAACCTGTTAACCTAGAATTTCAGTGTTTAAGATAAGCACGAGTGAAATTTCTGGAATAAATATGCATAATCCTGCTTTACAGAAGGTGATACATACATAAATTAGTGGATTCAAGTGTGATCTTGGATACAGGTATGTTCTATCTTTTGCAAGTTTTTAAAGTATTTTGAAGATGTTCTAGGGTCATATCCCCGTGTTCGGATTAAACTACGTGTCGGACATAGGTGTTTAAAGAAAAATATCGAATCAGAGCAACGTAGGCAATGTACAGAAATAACATAGACATGTTGCCTGTAATTAGGATAAGTTTGGGATTAACTTGGACAATGGAATAGCCACAATTATGAAAGTTATACATTCGAAGTTACACATGGAGTTGCTTTGCATTGCTGATTGTGCCAAGTATGCTGTACAGCAGAAGACCATATTTTGTTTTTCATCGAATGTAAATATCTATTCGTTTCCTTTGACAAATTACGAGTTATTATACGGTTGAAGTAGGAGCCATTGTTCAAATTTATTTATTTATATTAATTTGCTTTGCTGGTTGAATGGTATTTGATTGATTATGAATGACGCTAGAACCAGCTTGCATCTTTTTTCTCTTGATATTCTGATATTATAACACTCTGATGATACATTTTGTTCCTATCATGATTTATTATAAAATTCGTTGTATAATGCTAGAAAACCATGTTTGATATTATAATAATTGGTTTCTTGCCTTATATGTAGTTATACTTAAATAGTTCTATTTAAATAGATAAATAAGAAAGTGAAAAACTAATATGAAAATTGAAAGCAATATCTGTATATTACACTATACAGGGAGGAATCATTGATTTTTACATGCTATTTCTTAATATATTTGATTTTATGTGCTTATTTTAAAATTTATTAAACAATGAATTTATATTTTTGTAGTTAAAGTTATTTTATTCAAAATTTTGAAAATAATTAAAATATTACTATAATAAAAAAATTAAAACATAATTTAAGTGAATGAAAAATAATAATAAAATTGGAGATTTTTTTAACTAGTACATGAACATGGTTAAATTAGGCATGCTAAGACAGTTGGATTTGGTTGGCAAATTGGTCTTGATAAACTGATATGTCCAATTAATTAATTAATTTGTGAACAAAATGAATACATCCAAATCTAATTAAGCTTGACTTCCAATTTCTAAAAACAGTGTGGATGACTGTGTACGCCCCTACCTATTTATTTAGCTGCCCGTCCTTCCATCCCAGAGAGAGATTCCTTAATTAATTTGGGTGGTCTTTCTGCTATCGGCAGTGCAGAAAGAGAGAGTATCTATAACCATCATGGGCATGGCCTCTCTCTGTCCATTGAGGCACACCCTCTGAATTCTTGCTTGCTTTACGACCAACCTATGTGGTCGCCTTAAAGGACGATTTCAGTTAACCCCATAAATTTTTTCTTCTCACTTTGGAACTCTGGTTTAGCCATTTCTGTCCACCCAGACAAACCATAATTTACCATCACACGAACGCACTTTCATCCTATAATCGCCTGCTCTCTCTTGGGGGTGTACTGCGAGCGATTGATTCATATTAATATAGCATCGCCCCATTGGATTAGTTGTTTTTGATGGTCCTTTCTCAAATGCAAGCATGCGTATTGCTATGATATTAGGGTATGAGCTAAACCAGCTAGTGATGGCATTCATTTGTCAAAAGGACTAGTTTTTTTTTTTTTGGGGGGGGGGGGGGAATTAAAAAAAAAAGTAGAGAGAATTTAAGGCTTGGGAGAGGAGGGAACATGGATGGGGGACCGTTGAGAATCATATGGATGTTAAATGCAGTGGCCCAACTTTCTGCTTTGGTAGTAGCGGTTTTAAATGCTCCTTAAAAACCCCTCCTTCCTTCCTATATCCCCTAGGCTACCCACACCACCTTACCCTCCAAACTTCTCTATTCTCTTTTCTCCCCCTTCATTTCATTTCTTCTTCAATGTCCCAATATATTCATTCTTCTTCACTCTCCAGCCATGCTTGATTCTTCATTGATTACTGTTCCTTTAGGGGATTTTGTAGTATGGACAAACTGCATGTTATGGCCTAAATGACATGAGATAGTTACTTTGATATTGGCCTGGTTCACTCAGACATGGAAAACAAACCATTTTTTTGTCTGATTGAGCCGTGCCAATATCTTAGTACTCTTTCATATCTCCAAGCTTTTCACACTCGTAAACAGCCACATACATATCTCGCCGCCCCCAAGGTTTGTTCTCCTCCACCATCCACATAAACCCCGTTTCATGACGAGCTATAAATTCTTGCCTAGGGTTTATTGGTTCTGTAATACGTTTGTAGTAGTAAACTAGACGTATTATCCATGCTCTTACCATGCATTGGGATTCGGCAGCTTTAGGGTCATAAATCTTTTCGTATTTAATTATCTATGCTAGCTCTTAACTTGTATCCTATATATTGGGTTCATTGGTTTTTCTTTGATAGAGTGAGCTTTTGCCTTTTAGTACTGCTTCATCGCAAGTTAAAAAGAGTTACTAGAAGACACCCATAATTTAAACCCTCAAATTTATTGCATAGGCAGTGTCAATGTTAGAAGTGATTAAAATTTGTTTTGGCTCGAAAAAATTAATTTTTTGATTTGACATTAAAAAAAATATTTTGCTTTACTTGATCAGTAATTTTATAAATTGACTAAAAGAACCTTCGTATAAAGTTTTGAATTATAAAATAACACTTGAATAACTTAAATTATCAATAATTAATGTATTTGTTTCAAGTTCGAGTCCTTAACTCTATATGATATATCTATATCATATATGAAAATATAAAGAAATATATATATATACATATAGTACATGAATGTAAAAAGACGTTTAAATTTGAATGAGTTAATATCATAACATTATAAATATTTACAATTAACTTACACAAAATTTTAATAACTCAATTTGAATTTCATAAATTTCACTGAACTTGAAAAAATTTCAAAAAAAATTATGTAAAAGGAAACTCTTTGACTCGATAATTAATCCGAATTGACTCCATTAAATACTCATCTATAATGTTAATGATAAACCCGGAAAAAAGAAAGAAAGAAAGAAAGAAAGAGGGGATACTGTACAGCCAGCCACCCTAGCTCAGCTAGGGTTTATAAGAGCTATCAGCTGTGTATGACATAACAAACGAGTGCATGATTTGTTGTTTATTTTGATCCATCAACTCCTGAGCCAAGATGTGTAGGAATTATATTCATGGTGTGTTAATGTCGCTGCAGCCTGCAGGACGCATGAAAGACTAACGCGAAGATGGTATTCTTGGGTGGCCAAAGCTATCAGCTTGATCCACCACGATATATGCAGTGAAGAAGACAAGTGAAACAGAAACTACATATTGAATTATATTAGCATCTTTGGAGATTAAAAAGAAGAAATAATTATGTTGACATTGACATCTTTCTTCAGGGAAATGGGAAAACAGTAGTTTTCCACATGGGTAAATAGTCTTCACATTTATGTTCCCCATCTGTACTCATTTTTAATATTGATAAGCAAACATTTATTATTTTTTTTCTACAGCGGCATTTCCTTGAGACAATGACTTACCGTGCATGTAATTTTTCCCAGCAAAAGGAAGAAGAAAATAACTTGGTTTAAGATTCTGGGTCGGTTTCCATTTCAGTTCTGATAGGGACGGAGGGACGGATGTAAGATTTTATGCTAGATGATTAATTTAAACTTAAGGGGATGAACTAAAATTTTAAGGTGTCGAATTAAAATTTTAGAATTAAAATTTTAGAATTAAAATTTTAGGGGCAAAACAGATTTTCAATAAATAAAACATAAAAAAAATTAAAATATACGGTAATTTAAAATTTCAGGGGACGACTGCCCTCACCTGCCCCCTCGGTCCATCCCTGCAGACCACCTCTCTCTCTCTCATAGACTCATTGTAGCCTTTGTTTGTAATGTTTCTTATCTATGATCCATGGGAGTTTCTGCTGTGAGTCGCCCAAAATAAGGCTAATAAACGGTATGATCGGTAAAAAAATTATAGGTTAAAAGCGCTATTTACTAGAGGTGAGCGTTCGATCGAGTCGAGTAAAATTTTTTTGAGTTATTTGAGTTGACGAATCCAATTTTACAATTCGAAATTGATTTGATATTTTTTTCGAGTCAAGTTTATAAAATTCGAGTAGAGTTGAGTCTAGTCGATGTTTTGAGTTTCTATTTAAATTTAATTATAAATATTTATAATATTACAATATTTCAATTTAAGTGACTTTCTATAACCATATATACAATATAAATATATTTCTTTATATTTTTTCATACGTGATACAAATATATCATACAAAGTTCAAGTACTTGAATCAAACTTGAAAATAAATCCACTAATTACTAAAAATTTTGAGTTATTCGAGTTGCATTTTACAACTCAATTTGAATTTGAAATTTTTTCGAGTCAAGTTTATAAAATTTCAACTCGAAATCAATTCGAGTCGAGTTTTGCTCGCCCCTACTACTTACAATGTTATAAGTTGGAACTGAAAAGATTATCACTTGGAGTAACATAACAGATTGCACTAAAATGTTGTACAAAGTAAGAAAAATAAGTTATAAACTGTAAATGTTATGAATACTATTAACATTTTAGGTTGCTCCTAAAAAGTTACCAGAGTTTAAGTTTATGGGACATTAGACATTCTTACTATAAGAAAATAAGTTAAAACCTGAAGATGTTATGAATATATATATATATATATATATATATATATATATATATATATATATGAAATATGTTTTCACCCAATAATGTCATGGTTCACTAATAAATATGTTGTGATATGTAATATTAATATTTTTATTAATAAAATACGTTGCACCCTAGAATGTAATGGTTCACTAAGAAAATATGTTGCGATTTATAAAGTAATATTTTTTTTAATGAAATAGGTTGTGCCTAAGAATGTCACTAAGAAATAACTTGCAATATGTTATGTTAATATCGATACATATATTATGAGGTTTGATACTTTTATTTATATCAATACTTATACTCTAATATTTGTGGAAAAGTTTGATACTTTGTAGCATTCTCATTTTCCATGTTTTTTTAATTCGAAAGTATTAATTTTTTTTGTAGAAGTGTCGATATTTATTATGAGTGAATCGAGACAAATTATTTAAGAAAGCAATTGGAAATATAAAATATCAATACTTAATTCTATGTTGATCGATACTTTGTACATAAATTTAATATCAATAATTTACAGGCAAAATCGGTTAAGCTAAGTTAAAAAGAAGGTTGAACCTATTACTTTATAGGCAAAACTAGATTTGTATTAATATTTAATAATATAAATAGTTTCATACTTATAACTTAAACGGTTGACATAAAAAAATTTGTTACCTAGTATATTATCATGAGCAATCTGCTTTGTCTTACTTTTTCATAATATAATAGGTCACATAC